TTCCCACAAATGCGCTTCTGCAAGCTGATATCCGGTGCGTTCGGTTCGGGCCTTTTTGGATCCCGCCGCTGGATTGCTTTTGTTGTAGGTTTAATTGGTTGCTGAGTTTGGTATGCAACGATTTCTTTATTTACTCTTCCACGCTCATCAACTGAGTTCATCACACACTTGATTGCTGCTATTATAAACGGTTACTACTTTATAGACGATTGCATTGTTTCATACAAGTAAATACCGACCTACGATGAAAACAGTCCAGCGGCGCAAACTTGCCACTTCGTCAAGCGGACAAAACACAAACCGGAAACACCATTGTGACATCTCTGAGGATCTTTAAATAGAAACACGTAAGATTAACTGACGTTGCCCAAAGACAAATCACCGCAGCACCCCTTAAAAGGTCCCTCAAAATAATTTTTTTTTAAAGTTTGGTTGGGACACGCGTGTCAAAAAAATTAATTTTACGCAAAAAAAAAAAAAAATAAATAAATAGAGCAATATGACGGCGCGAGGCGCGATTTAGTTGGTAGTCGCCTCCTTTCCACTTGTTTCTCTCTCGGCATTTCGGGCGTGTGGAGGAGAGGTTGGGCGAATGACCATTCTGTGACGTCATGGACTTTGCGCACAGAATTTCAAATTAATCTGTCGCCGTCAATATTGCTCTAGAAAGATTTTTTTTTTGCGTAAAATTTATTTCTTGATGCGCGGGTCTTAACCAAACTGTTTAAAAAAACGTTTTTTTCTTATTTATGTGCCCTTTAAAGGGGTACTGAACCAAGGAATTTAGTGTCCATAATAAGTGACGAACGTTCTTCCCACGAGCCAGCAGTCACCGGTGTGCGCGAGCACACGCAACAAAAATGACGTCAAAGACCTCCATTCGCGGTTAAGATGTCAGTGAAATGTATGGGCTTCGGGCCAAAGGAGAAGAAAGGCAAGTTTTTCATCTTCACCGTGGTGTCTGGTGTAAAAGGTAAGCGATTGATTGGTCTAACAAGCACGTAGCTTTCATTTGTAGAGATGAAAAGCCTATCTTTATACTCCTTTGGCCCAAAGCCCACGTATTTCACTGTCCTCTTAAGCGGGAATGGAGGTCTGTGACGTCATTTTTGTTGCGTGTGCTCGCGCACACCGGCGGCTGCTGGCTCGTGGAAAATCGTGCGTCACTTATTATGGACACTAAATTTTTTGGTTCAGTAACCCCTTAACAAAATTGCTGTCTTCATCCCGTAAGTGAACGTGGAATCAAACCTGATTACATCGGTTCCAGATTTGAAATAATAATAAAAAACACTTTGTTGAGAGCGACCACAATCTCTGTGTGAAGGCGCGTGCTAACATTTTTCTGCTCTCAGAATGATGCGCCATTCCTTTCAATTCAATTATATGTCTCTTTTTACACACCGGCAACACGTTTTATTTAATGTTGGTTTATATTTTTCCCACAAATTGATTATGTATTTTTTGTTCTTACTTTTTACCATTCTAATGAGTATTCTTATGGAATTTCGGAGTTCGTAAGCTGGTATGAATGTGTTGTTTTCTAGTAGCATCAAATAAATGCAGGATTTTTCAAGTCTCGCTTCGTGTTTGCAGGGCTCATTCGACTACCACATCGAGAAGAAAATGCCGTGGAGTGTGCTGTTTGAAAAAGTGAATGAGTTGGAGTCAAAGTTTCGCTTCGAGCACATCTTGGTGTCTGACAGCTCCTTGGAGCAGATTTTCCTCGAATTCGCCAGGAACATACCGTCAAAAGACATAAAAATTGCCCAAGAAGCCAGAGAAACCCAAACATCCCACATTGCCTCAGTTGAACAAAGTTCATCCTCTACAAACAAATATTCAACTACCAGCGGGAATTTCTCTTCTTCAAAAATACCGTCCGACAAAGATTCTTCGGAGCATTCAGCAACGGAGAACTCGTCTATGGCGGTGTCAGCCTAAACTCCAGTGGAGCGTTGACAAATCTAATTGAAAATAGTAATTCAGCTGTACTGCTGACGACAGAATATGTGCTTTCTGCTGGTTCACTTTTATTTGATCTTATAATGCTGACAACACTTGCTGTGTGAAGAGCCTTGTTTAACATATAAGAATAACTCACTGGAAACCACCAAACTTTGATCGAGATCACTAGTGGCGTTGAGACTATAAGAAAGAGCCCCTGTGAATAAAAAAAAGGGCAATTAATTTATTCATAAAAAAATTGCTGCACGTCTGTTTCTTGATTTGAAAAATGTCCAACACCTGTTGGACATTTTCCCACTTGCTTCACAAAAATGTGATGCCCTCTGTTCCTTGACCTGCAAAAATGGCATATATTAGGATTACACGTGCAGCTTTAAGTTCAGTGCCCAGCGAGTTAATCACAATACATGTTACAATAGTGATTAGGATGCTAAAAGAAGAACTAAATTCAATTTCCGCCCTTGCCCGTTTCGATCTGGATGAGCATCGTACCGGCGTGCGCGCGTGTATCACAAGTGCGGGGAGCACATTAAGGACACCAGGCTAGCGGTTGTACTACACTGGCTAAATTGCTCACCTACAGCTGAGAGGCAGTCGCCCGTTAAGGCAGACTTTTCAAACTGTATAAACACACACTTAAACAACACAGGAAAATAAAAACACTTAAAAATTTATTTTCTCGCACCACATTTATCGTGCATCTTGGGGTGTTTTTCGTGAATATTTGTTTGTTGCTTAATATCGTAGCTAAATAAAAAAAATAAACGAGCAAATACCCATTTGTCTAGTTGTATTCAATATAGAGCTCACTACCTATAAGGAAGGTGGTTCAGTTAAACGCTTTTAGGGGAAAGGAAAAGTATTCTATATATTGATAATAAGGTAAAGAATAAGATCGATCAGTCTCGTGCTCAAGCTGTTAGACCTACACTATATACTCCGTTCATTATACTCCGTTCGCTCTTGAGCTGATACTAGAAGCTCCGCCTTCAGTGCTAGCCCGCCGGCTTCCGCAGTGCTTTGGTTGCGCGTGCCTGCGCGTTCACGTTTCTGTTAGCAAGGACAGAAAGCTCGCGCTGAAGGCGGAGCTTCTATGCTTTGTTTCAGCTTCGGTCCGAGCGCGGCCGATGTTATTAGCCGAAGGGCCAATCAAGCAGCGGAAAAAGCGCAGCGTCATGGCGTGTTCTCTGCGCTTGATACGACTAGCCTGCGGAGGAGCGCGCACAGAGAGGCAACGAATACCTGCTGGTCCTATCAACTGCAGAGAGCACGCCATGACGTCGTGCCTCTTTCGCTGTTTGATTGGCCCTTCGGCTCATAACATCGGCCGCGCTCGGACCGAAGCTGAAACGAAGTATAGTCTCAGCTTCTAGACCTGTTCACACATGCAGCGGAACGCTACAAGCATAGCGCTGACTGCGCGCTGAGCACGCGTTGACGTCAGCATCCACCAGTTTTGTATCGCACCGCCAAAATTGTTTTTAATGACAGACGATAAGTAGCTGAAGAGACGTGAGCAGCGCTACATCATCACTTCGCTGCATGTGAGAACCAGCCTGGAGTTCAGCTCGCTTGTGACGGCACGCGCTCACAAAGAAAATGCTAATAAATAGCCAGAAACAGGATGCCGCCATAGCGCAATCAACGCTATAGACGCTTTACAGCAGCTGTGCAAGGGCGCCGCCATAACCCATCTTCAGTTTTTGTTTCCTCTTATATTTTTCACTTCGCTCCATCATTACCACAGGAGGACAGGTTACTGACATTTTAGATATGACGGTGTCTTTTTCCCCAGAATTCGCCTTTGTGGAGGCTCGCCAAATCCCGCTTCAGTGGTTTGATATCTCGGTAAGACAATAGAAGGTCGGCGAAGGCGTCTGTAATCTGGCGCGTGTGTAAAACGTCTATAGGAAGTATTCATTGGCGTCCATAGCTGTGAGCGCGAATTCTGAGCGCGTGCAGATGGCGAGCTTCCACAGTTCTTTTGCAACGTGCATTCCGCACCATCAAAAGTGCCGGTCTTAGCACCCTATAGACGCTTTGCAGCAGCTGTGCATGGACGCCGCCTTAAGTGACCTTCAGTTTTTGTTTCCTCTTATTCCGTTTATTTCACTTCATCATTACCATAGCAGGCCAGGTTATTGGCGTATTAGATTCAACTGTGTTCTTTTCTAAAGCATCGGTCTTTGTAGAGGATCGTCAACTACCGTTTCAGTTGCTCGGCATTTTGGTAAGACAAGAGAAGGTCAGCAATGGCGGCTGTAATTTGGCGCGTGTGTAAAGCGTCTATTGATGTAAGCTCGTTCTGAGCGTGCGCTTTAAACAGCACCCACAAATATGGCGTCCAGTGAATACTTCCTACAGTTTGTTGCACCTTATGTTGTACAGCAGCGAAAGCTAGAAGCGCGAGCTTATAGCGTTTTCAGCTGCTCTTAATTCACGAGAGCTTGTGCCGCCTAGATGTGTCCCCGAGCAAGGAGCTCGCGCTTGTAGCCTTTCCTGCGGTACATCATAATGTGAAACAGTATATAAGAACTCAAGACGCGAGACGCGCTTCCACGTGCTTTTGAGCGAAGGAAGCAAAGAAAAGAAGTGACTTGATGTAACCATCCAAAGAAAAGCGCAGATGAAGGCACCCCATAGTTCGATTACATTTGACTACGTTATCGTAGCCGCAATGAAAGAAATACCCTAAACTTTGAGACAATTGTTTCTGGCGATGAAGCGGCCCAACCTATGGGTATCCATCAGCTCACGCTCCTTGAGCACCGATCAAAACTGCGCACACGTGGTCTTCATTTCTAATATTACAGAAAAAGAGAAAAAAAAATTAAACCTGAGATGTTTAACATCTTGAACGTGCATCACGCAGTAGTGTTATAAGACCATGCCCCGGTACCACGCTTATCAAAATTGAAACGGGCGGAGGTGGTGGTAGTTACAATAAAATGAAAATGACCTTCAGCGTCCTTCGAGTAAGGAAAGAAAAAGAAGCCCTCGCCGGTCAGTGACCATCCTGCGAGCTCGGGGAGGCGCGAGTGGTGCAGAAGTGGTTCTGGAACTACGCCATGCTGGTCGTGATCTTGGTCAGGGTGGCCGCCCTGGTGGGAATGCTCCTCATGTGCCACTACCTCGGCGTCATCCTGCCAAGCAACAGACGGATCGCCCACTCCCCCGACGCCACTCCCGCGAACGACACCGCAATCCAACCAGGTACGTAGAAACGACGGAAATCTAAAAAGGGTGATTGCTATAGTGCACACCATGTTCTGTAAGCGCTGCCAATCTATGAACCTCGCTCTGGTATAAATTCGTACTACGAGCCAGTACAGAATACCCGGGCCGGTTTACTGGTGCACGCTGGTATCTCTGCCATCAGTTTAACTATCCTTGTGTGCGTTTTTGAAGTCACGAAGCCGCTTTCGTGGGAAAAAGTTTCTGGTGTTCCAGATGTAATCCATGCCTGTCGTTTTCTTTTATTTTTGTTAACACGATTTTTTACGGAAACAACTCACATAACGCTCCTGAAGTACACGAGTGCGATTTATTTCACTTGCATTTCAAGCCTGTTCGCCCTCTTGCTGCGCGCAAAATTGAACTTCAATAATCAAAGAGAGGACGAACGCTAGATACCTTTATAGCGTATTCGTCAGGTCGTTTTCGAGCGCTCCATTCCTTTGAATCGCATATGAGAGATTCGCGAGTGCCTCCAAATCCAAGCTGGAGTAGTCTTCTACACATTAAAAAAAAAAGAATAAAAAATTAAGCATTACAATTTCGATTACTCTTGGTAAATAACTATTCAGTTAGATTACTTGATTACCTGAGAAGAAAAGTAACTGGACATTACTGAAAAAAGGATCCGTTATTTTTTTTTTAGAATTTCGAGATTTTCAAGGCGGCATATGTTTCCGCCAGTGTCAAAAAACGTATCTTTCGTAATGTACAGTATTATAATCACCGAAATAAAAGCTGCTCATCTTCTATATACGCCAATTTATGTCGTTCAAACCCCTTGTCGAAGACTTGGTTTGAGCATTCCTTGGTAGCAAGGTTATGGAAACAAAGGGCGCCACTAGGAAGGGGAACAGGAAAAAATAGTAATGGCCACGAGTAATTTTATTACATTCAAAAGCAATCAGATAACTCTGATGATTACCCCCTAGCAAGGGTAAACGGGTGATTGCAAAAAAAGTTATTTCTGAAAGTAGTCGATTACAAAGTAATTTAATTACTTGTGATGGCGTGACCTTGTCAACATTTCCGAGCGGCCCGAGCTCCGACACGGAACCAGATACCGAGGGCAGGCTCCACAACCGCTCCGCTGCCGCAGGTAACCGCCCGATAAGAAGAGTTTAGCCAATACTATTCATTCAACCAGAGCCCTCGCCGTGTGTCCACATGCCCGCACGAAAAACGGGAGCCTTCGGTGCGGACGTGTGCTCTCGCCGCGGTCCCCCGTCAAGCCCCTCCTGTACCCACCCCCAAAGAACAGCGGAATCGGTGCAGTATCCAAACGCGGCGGCGCCCGGCGCTAGGGAGCTTAAGGCCACGGTCCCACTGAATGTGGCAGTTTAGGTACTTTTTGGCAGGTCATTACTCATCTCCTTTTAAATACTGTTTTGTGGGACTGATGTCATTCGAAAGGCAATTGCAATCCTCTTTCATTTGATATTATGTGTGTGTTGGTTTTTCCTGTTCATGTGCATTTATAGCGATGCGAATATGATGGCGCGGACCCTCACTTGCTCCGCTAGTTCATGTTTCATGAACCATCCATTAAAGATAACACGGTTCCAATATAGCAGTTTTGTTAAGCTGATGTCGGAGCAGAATTTAACGATACACTTTTTTGGTATCTGCACTACTTTGTTTTTTTTCATCCATCCAAATATTGCCCTAAAATTGACATTTTTCAGCACAAATATTCCTTTACTGACAAGCGCTAGGACAATGAAATTAGCTACAGATGTAGTGCTTATAATTGGTAATATGCAGAAAAAAAAATTAATGTTGTGTAAAATATTTTTGTTTAGATATTTTATATCAAACGTAGCACTTTTTTGTGCTTCGAGTCATGGTACTTCAAATGCCGCTGAGGAAATAATTAAACTATGATAAAATCTTCTATAACATTTAGAGCTACAATGGTTGCCCAAGAGGTGGACGATGGCTTTTTTTCATTTTCAAAGTCATAACGCTCCAGGAGCCCTTCAAACTTACCTGTTTTTGACGCATGTCTTTTTTGGACATCAAACAGATTTATTGGCATCTAATAACATTTATTGTTTGGAATAGATATACATTGCGATGTATTAAATCTTCACAGTTATCTTGCTTTGGTTTTTGAATAGGTGTGGAGCTTAGCTAAATTTAAAAACAATTAAAAACTGTTTGGGCGTTTTATTGCGCTACCTGGCGGATGGCAGACAAACTGCTGATTTCTAATGTTCAAAAAATTTCCGAGGGCGGCGTTGGCGTCTGTATCATCATCAATCTCCGTGTCTTTTTACCTTCACATTTAAAAAATATATTGGAAGATTTACTATCGATAAATGAACGGTTTAAGTACTGGGTCAGGTTAATAAATCTAAGACAAATAATTACACAAGCGTAGCGTGATATAATGTGTTCATTATTCGATATGATTGAAATCAATAAACAATGAAGACGAAGAGGAAAAGAATACACCCGAGTTCACTTCGTGCCTAGAGTCACTAAATGAGCTTTAAAGTATCGGCACTCCGTCCCCCGAAATTGTTTTGGGTGCCGCCATTTTGGGTCTTGTTCAGAGCAAACGCAACTGCCGATCATCATGATCCAAAAGTACGACTTCCTCAGCATTAGATGCGGTGCTAAGAAGCTGATGCAATATTGCAGTGCTCTGTCGCGGGTTGTTTAAACATTTCTGGAAGACGGAAAAGCGTTTCCTGTGATTTTAGATAAAGCTTCAGGTAACTGGCAACCATGATTTTAAGCCACAATATGGCCAACTGTCGTTACTCTGAACCGTAGCTAATTTACTGGCACAAGCGGGAACAATGAGGAAGAGGCAGGTACGTGTCAGAAGGTAGTGGCTTGTGGAATCCACGGGGCTTACGTCATGGCCCCTCCAGGTATTACAAGCCTCTTGAACAACAGCATGAATAGTGCCATTAAATAAGCTACGCTTCAGAGTAGCGACACTTGGCCATATTGTGGCTTAAAATCATGGTTGCCAGTTATTTGAAGCTTTATCTGAAATCACAAGAAACGCTTTTCCGTCCTCCACTTTTAACAGTGTGCGACAAAGCAAAGCAACCATACATGAGCTTCCTAACACCGAATCTAATGCTGAGGATGTCGCACTTTTGAATCATGACGATCGGCAGTTGCGCCTGCTCTGTACAAGCACCAAAATGGCGGCGTTCAGAACACTGTCGGGGAAGAGAGTGCCGATACTCTAAGCGCAGCTCATTTATTGGCTCTAGTTCCCGCGAAACTCCTTTTCCCTAACTGAAACTGAAAGTAAATATGAATAATACACCATTATTATAACTTATTTAGTTATGACCAACTACACATAATGAGAGGAGGAAGCGGCCGGGTAGGAGAAACGCGGGTTTTATGTGCGACCGTTCTAACCGTCTCAAAAGAGAGAACGCGCGAGCTTTCGCTGGTTTAAAAAAGGCATCCAAAGAAAAGAGGCGGCACGCTGTGTCCCTTGTTATTATGCGTCTAATTGCAAATTGTTGTGTGTATGTTTATAGAGCCGGAAGCTAGTCAGTGGGCGTCTGCTGCCTCAGCTGTAGATGAGAAATTTAGCCAGTGCGGTACAACCGCAAACCTGGGGTTTTAACGTGCACCACACAGTAGGGATACGCGACCGCACGCCGGTACGATGCTCTTCCAGTTCGAAACGGGCAGGGGCGGGGTGGGTTCTGCAGCGCGAGCTTTCGCTCGAAGTGCTCCAAGCTGGTGTGCGCTAGACCATGCACTCGGCCACGGACCCCCCCCCCCCCCCCCCCCTTTGTGCGTCTAATTTACATACAGGTATAAGTATTTGAAGATCAACGATGGGCGTTGATTGTCTCGAGGTAATGTAACGTAATAACATTATATAAATAACAAATTTGTTGAAGGACTGAACGACTCAATTTTTTCAATTCTTGGATTGTAATATGGCGGTAGCCTATTGTACTTACTGTTGATGAAGAGCAATATGAGGTGATGAGATAATGATTAAATGATGAGGCTTTATAAGGATGACGATATTAGTGGGTGTCGAACCACAACGTACCGTGCCAGACTTGTTTCAAGTATCGTGTACCCAAAGACTTTCTTCACCCGCAACAGAATATGGTAGAATCAATGAGGATGCTGCTTTACAACTGTACGTGGAACAGGAAAACTGCACTGTGCAGAAGTGCGGCTCATTTGTTAATATGAGGGACGGATTTCTAGCAGAATTTTCTGATTGACTACTTGGAACAAAGGGCCTCGTTGACGTAAAGTGTCCCCGTTCCAAAAGATTTTTGAAGCATACTTAAACCGCAAAGGAGTATGAGGCGAAAAATAAGAAAAAGAAGTTTGGTGTGAAAGGTCCAAATCACCACCATAGCTTCTATCAAATACAAGGGCAGTTACACAATACACAAAGAGAGTTTTGTGATTTAGTTATATCTACACTCAAAGGCGTTCGTATTCAGAGGGATGACACCTTCTGGTCAACCAACATAGAGCTTATTCTACTCAAGTTTTACATGGAAGACCGGTTTCCGCTGAAATTCCTCACGTAGAAGAGTTGTCCGACTGAATAAACTGCCATTACTCCCGATCTGGGAATCTCTCGATCTTCGTTCGTAGGCCATAGTATCATGAGATCGAGGGGTGTGGCTCTTCGTCCGCCGAATATTGCTTCGGCGGGTGCTTTTACCGTCTAATATGAGACAGTCGCGTGCTGCTGGAACAAGAACCTGGCAATTCTTCACTGAACTGCTTCTTCCGTAAGCTTCAATAGGGCATATTTTTGTTTCGCACACCATTTGTTCTGCTTGCCCGTTAGTTGCAGGATGGTATGGTGCACTAATGTGATGCCTGATGCCGGTTCTTTTTTTCTTCAAAAACTTGTTTATTTTATTTTAAGCAAGATTTGGCGCGTTATCAGAGAAAAGTATTTTCGGTAGGGCAAAAGTAGGTAAAAGAGACCGTAGAACGTTAATGACGTGTTCGGA